AGGGTGTCCAGCACTGTAGCTTGCTGGTCATTGAGTGAAGCTGGGTGCTGGTGTTGAGATGGAGATCTCTGGGAGATTTTTGCAGTTTGATATTATGTGGAGCTGGGAGGTCTCTTGTGGACCAGTGTCCTGAAGTTGGCTCTCCCACCTTAGAGGCACAGCACTGACTCCTGGCTGCAGCACCAGGAGCCTTTCATCCATACAGCTCAGAATAAAAAGAAGAAAGAAAGAAAGAAAGAAAGAAAGAAAGAAAGAAAGAAAGAAAGAAAGAAAGAAAGAAAGAAAGAAAGAAAGAAAGAAAGAAAGAAAGAAAGAAAGAAAGAAAGAAAGAGAAGGGAGGGAGGGAGGGATGAAGGAAGCAAGGAAGGAAGGAAGGAGGGAAGGAAAGAAAGAAGATAAAATAAAATAAAATAAGGTAAAATAAAATAAAGTTATTAAAATAAAAATAAGAAAAACAATTTTTTTTAAAGTAAGAAAAAAAATGGACGGATAGAACCCTAGGACAAATGGTGGAAGCAAAGCTATAAAGACAAAATCTCACAGAAGCATACACATACACACTCACAAAAAGAGGCAAAGGGGAAAAAATCATAAATCGTGCTCTCATAATCCACCTACTCAATTTGGGATGATTCGTTGTCTATTCATGTATTCCACAGATGCAGGGTACATCAAGTTGATGGTCGAGCTTTAATCCACTGCTTCTGAGACTGCTGGGAGAGATTTCCCTTTCTCTTTTTTGTTCGCACAGCTCCCAGAGTTCAGCTTTGGATTTGGCCCCGCCTCTGCGTGTAGGTCGCCGGAGGGCGTCTGTTCTTCGCTCAGACAGGACGGGGGTTAAAGGAGCAGCTGCTTCGGGGACTCTGGCTCACTCACACCGCGGGGAGGGAGGGGTACGGAGTGCAGGGCCGGCCTGCGGCGGCAGAGGCCAGCGTGATGTTGCACCAGCCTGAGGCACACCGTGCGTTCTCCCAGGGAAGTTGTCCCTGGATCCAAGGATCCTGGTAGTGGCGGGCTGCACAGGCTCCCCAGAAGGGGCGTGTGGATAGTGACCTGTGCTTGCACATAGGCTTTTTGCTGGCGGCAGCAGCAGGCTTAGCATCTCATGCCCATCTCTGTGGTCCGCGCTGTTAGACGCGGCTCGCGCCCGTCTCTGGAGCTCCTTTAAGCAGCGCTCTTAATCCCCTGTCCTTGTGCACCAGGAAACAAAGAGGGAAGAAAAAGTCTCTTGCCTCTTCGGCAGGTCCAGACTTTTTCCCGGACTTCCTCCCTCCCTCCCGGCTAGCCGAGGTGCACTAACCCCCTGCAGGCTGTGTTCACACCGCCAACCTCAGTCCTCTCCCTGAGCTCAGACCGAAGCCTGAGCCTCAGCTCCCAGCCCCGCCTGCTCCGGCTGGTGAGCAGACAGGCCTGTGGGGCTGGTGAGTGCCGGTCGGCACTGATTCTCTCTGCGGGAATGTCTCCGCTTTGCCCTCCGCATCCCTGTTGCTGTCCTCTCTTCCGCAGCTCCGAAGCTTTGCCCCTCTGCTACCCGCAGTCTCCGCCCTCGAAGGGGCTTCCTAGTGTGTGGAAACCTTTCCCCCTTCACAGCTCCCTCCCACTGGTGCAGGTCCCGTTCCTATCCTTTTGTCTCTGTTTATTCTTTTTTCTTTTTCCCTACCCAGGTACGTGGGGCCTTTCTTGCATTTTGGGAGGTCTGAGGTCTTCTGCCAGTGTTCAGTAGGTGTTCTGTAGGAGTTGTTCCACACGTAGATGTATTTCGGGTGTATCTGTGGGGAGGAAGGTGATCTCCGTGTCTTACTCTTCCACCATCTTCCCCTCGTCCCCCCTTCTGCCATTTTTCAGGCAACTTCATAATTCCATCTTCCCAAAACTTTTTATCTTTTTGAGCAAAGAACTCTTCCAGGTGCCTTTTACAGTCTTCCAGGGAATGGAAATTTTTTCCATTAAGAGAATTTTGTAAAGACCGAAATAAATGGAAATCCGAAGGTGCAATGTCTGGTGAATATGGCGGATGAATCAGAACTTCCCAGCCAAGCTGTAACAGTTGTTTCCTGGTCATCAAAAAACATGTGGTCTTGCGTTATCCTGATGGAAGATTATGCGTTTTCTGTTGACTAATTCCAGACACTTTTTGTCGAGTGCTGCTTTCAGTTGGTCTAACTGGGAGTAGTACTTGTTGGAATTAATCATTTGGTTTTCCAGAAGGAGCTCATAATAGAGGACTGCCAACCCCACCATATACACAACATCACCGTCTTTGGATGAAGACCAGCCTTAGGTGTGGTTGGTGGCGGTTCATTTCACTTGGCCCATGATCTCTTCCATCCCGTATTATTGTGCAGTATCCACTTTTCATCTCCCGTCACACTTTTTTTTAAAATTTTTCTTTATTTATTTTCTTTATTTTTTTGGCTGCGTTGGGTCTTCGTTGCTGCGCACGGGCTTTCTCTAGTTGCGGAGAGTGGGGTCTACTCTTTGTTGTGGTGCATGGGCTTCTCATTGTGGTGGCTTATCTTGTTGCGGAGCAAAGCTCTAGCCGCACAGGCTTCAGTAGTTGTGGCATGCGGGCTCAGTAATTGTGGCTCACGGGCTCTAGAGCGCAGGCTCACTAGGTGTGATGCACGGGTGTCGTTGCTCCATGGCATGTGGGATCTTCCCGGACCAGGGCTCGAACCCGTATCCCCTGCATTGGCAGGCGGATTCTTAACCACTGCGCCACCAGGGAAGCCCCACACTTTGTTTTAAAGACAGAACATTTTCATTACGTTTCAGTAGGGAATCGCATGAGGAAATATGGTTAAGAAGGTTTTTTTTGCCTAACTTATGTGGAACCCAAACATCAAAGCAATTCACATAACCAAGCTGGTGCAAATGATTTTCAACGCTTGATTTGGATATTTTGAGTATGTCGGCTGTCTCCTGCGTGGTATAATGTTGATTGTTCTCAATGAATATCTCTATTTGCTGGCTATCACCTTCAACTGGTCTACCCAACTGTGGAGCATTGTCCAGCAAGAAATCTCCATCATGAAACTTCACAAACCACTTTTGACACATTTGATCAGTCACAACACCTTCTCCATACACTACACAATATTTTTTTGCGTTTTCAGTTATGTTTTTACCTTTCTTGAAATAATAAAGCATAATATGCGGAAAATGTTGCATTTTTTTCTTCCATCTTCAATATTCAAATGAATACACAAAAATTCACCAGTTTTGGTAAGTCTTTTTTTTAATGCGGGCTGATATGACACCTGTCACATACAATCTAAGAAAACTGTTTCGAATGCAGTTAAAGACAACTAAGTTCTACTAGAGCCATCTTATGGAAATACCGATCGAACCTTTTGGCCAACCGAATAGAATGCCCTTCAATTTGAGTGTGTTTGAAGTTTCCTTTTTTCCCCCCACATTCAGATCATGCATTTTTGTCAGGAATACCATGCAAACAATGTTGTAACCTTTGTGCATTGTATCATATTAGGAGCCATGTAATGTCAATTTGTCCCAATATTTCTGAGGTTAAATTTGATTACTTGGTTAAGGTGGAGGCTGCCAAGTTCTTCCACTGTAAAATTACCATGTTTTGCTTTTTAATGAATAAATGATTTGTGGGGAGATATTTTGAAACTATGTAGATATCTTTTTCCTCATCCAACTTTCACCCACTAGTTTTATCATCCATTGATGATTTTCTAACTTTGTCATTCCTTATATTTATTTGGCTTTGTATTGTAAGAGCTTTCTTTTGTTTGTATCAGTATGAACTCTTGGATTATTTTATTTTATTAAATGCATTATATTCTGTTACTCATTATTTATTTTCATGCCCAATTTTTCCATATTTGGGTATAGGGAACCCCTTCAGGGTGGGTCAAGTGTGCTTTTGATATGTTCCCATCGTTCTGTGAGCAGTTCTTTACTTTGGGGGGTAGCAAGATGATCCAGGCTCATCTTATATTTTCTTTGCCCCAGTGCTGGAATCAGCCATTTCTCCAAGGAACCTTTATCCCTTTTAGTTTAGAAACCAAGATATGAGATAAGGTATATGTGTTTTTTAAAGAGACTCCAAGGTGATTTTGCTGGTCTTTCTGGAACCCATTGTAATAGAGCCTTCTTGTATACAGGAGTTCCATTCAGATATTTGCTAAATGGACAGGACTAAGGAGTAGTTGAAGTAGTCCAGGGAGATGAAGGAATATAAGTAGAGTCACTGTATATGAAAAAGCCCAACTCATTCAGAGGAACTAGAGTTCAGTGTGGCTTCAAGAAGAGAAGAGCTAGAGAATGAGGCAGGGACCAGTTCATTGAGGACTTTATTTGCCATCCAAAGGAACTTAACCTTATAGAAGATGAGGGGCCATCATAGAGGGTTTAAACTAGGTAGGTAAGTGATTGATTTTGGTAGATTTGCATTTTAAAGTCACTGTACTGTCACCAGCGGCAATGCATAGGATGGATTAGATAAATATTTAACATTATTTTCCAGCAGGGTTGGCATTTGCCTTTATAAACTTTTCTCCTAGATGCCAGTATTGCAGCTGCTGGATACTAACATCTCAAAGGAATTGTTGGCAGTAGTTTAGTGAAAAGGCAACGAGAGAGAGAGACCATACAATACGTTAAAACTTGAATCATTGATTTATCTGTTTCTGGAATGGTAGCAACTCTTCCTTTTATTAGTAGTTTTACAGTCAGGACTGGAAGCCATTGAAAAATAACACAAACAAAAGTATAAAATAAATGCTGTCTTTTTAAATGAAAAAGTCTTGATGAATATCAATACTGCTACATTTTATTTTTCTTTATGTTTGGTAGTAACATCAATAATAGGATTGATATAGACATTCAGTAATGTAGACATTTTACCTGGTTTGTGTGGTAACCAAAGTATGAAATGTAACAAACACATTTTCTACAATAATAGCAAATTGCACCTTCAGCTTAAAGTTTTGCTGTTATCATAATAAGTTTTATTTCTGTGCTATTTACAGCCTGTATCCCAAGCTGTTGGAGCTGAACAAACAGCAACTCTTCTAAAACCGGATTTAGTTCGAAGGTGAGTATCTTCAAATTAATACCATGAAAGCGATGAGGGTATGTTGAAGTACTGCATTCATTAGGTGCTTAGTGTGTCTTGACTGAAGAAGTTTCTGTGTTCTAGTATTTGTGTGTATGTTCAATAAAAATAGTAGATATTATTTTCACTTTTTATGTTAATAAATATCATATGGACTATGAAATTATTGACCATTTTCTTGTTCACATTATTATAATATTCTGGGGTGGTTTTCTTTTTGGCTGCACCACCGTGGCTTGTGGGATCTTAGTTCCCTGACCAGGGATTGAACCCATGCCCTTGGCAGTGAGAGTACGGAGTCCTAACCACTGGTCTGCCAGGGAATTCCCATCATATTCTGTTCTTAGGAAAATGTTATAAGAATTTAAAAAGGAAATAAGAAATAATGTAATTTAAAGTTCCAGCTAATCTAAAGAAATAAATTACAACCAGATATATGACTATATTGTCATTTGGTACTTGTAAACTAATATTTTTCTCTATCTTGTTCAGATTGGGTTAATTTCTCTTGTTCTGTCTTCAGGTTCACTGATTCTTTCCTTTGTCCTATTCATTCTGCTATTGTGCCCACTCAGTGCATTTTTTATTTCTATGATTGTACTCTTTCTATAATTTCCATTTGTTTCTTTCTTAATATCTTCTATTATTATGAGATTTTCTGGCTTTTCATTTGCTTCAAAAGTATTTGTAATTGCTCGTTGAAACAATTTGATAATGGCTGCTTTAAAATCCTTGTCAGGTAATTCCAATATCTGATTCATCCTGGTGTTGGCATCTGTTGATTGTCTTTTCACATTCAAGTTGTGATTTTCCTGGTTTTTTGTATGACAGAGAATTTTCATTTGTCTCCTGGACATTTTGGACATTATGTTAGGATACTCTGGATCCTATTTAAATACTCTATTTTAGCAGTCAGTCATTGTGTTTAGGTGCAAAGGTCCTGGTCTACTTTTGTGGACTATGGTTCTAATGACAATTTAGTTTTCAGAGTCTTTGTATTATTATTCGGATCTGCTTGGTTCACCTGACACCATTGGGACCCACTGCTGGATCAAGGGGTTGGAGAGCACTTCTCTAGGCCCGCTGCCCTAAGCCAGCTCTCCAGACCACATGCTACTGGTAGGGTTCCCACCAGCATCACCAAGGGAGGAAAGGGCCCACCTGAATCACCTTCTGTTGCTAGGTTGGGGTTCAGGAGACCACTGGGCTTGGGCTACCTTTGCCTTTTGGCCCAGGAGTCAGGAGATGCCAAGCTGTTATATTTTTCCTCAAGTCCTGGGAGTCCCTAGCTAGTCTGCCTTCATCTTTTCACTCTTCAGTGCCCTCCTGTGATATTCTACTGTATTATTTCCAGATTTTTTAGTTATACTTAGTGGGGAGGAACGGGGAGAGTTGAGTTTCTGCCATCTTGTCCCAAACCCTAAACTAGTGTTTTAAGATAACTTTGCAAAGTGAATGATACAGCTGCATTGACTAGAATTATGTCCCTTTTCTCCTCTGAAGGTGTTATTTATTACTGCTATTTCTCTGTCTATTAAAAAACTAAGAGCAGTATTAATGTATTTTCTTCCTCCACTTGTATTTATGAAAATTCTTTTTCACAGGGACATAGAAAAAGTTTTAGGAGTTCGTTTTATTTTTTCTTGTATATCTTTATATAGATACTTCCTGAGTAGTTTTTAGGAGAAAGGACTTAACCTAAAAATTAATTTAAAAAATATCTACTGCTTACAGATCTCATTTAAGTTTCAAATGTATTTATTGGAATTTTTGTTATTTATTGAAATATCTTCAAATTTATTAAAGAAAAAGCTGAAAAATACCTTTGACACAGATCAGCTGAAAGTTAGTCTGCCCTGTCATAATCATATTGACTTGAACCTGCAAAATATAACTAGTTAGAATTAATCATGTTGAATCATTTTCACATCATTCATTTTCAGTTTTTTTTAACCAAAATTATGGTGTATTTTTTCTTCTTCCCTCCCTCCCTCCCTCCCTCCTTCCCTCTTCCTTCCTTCCTTCCTTCCTTCCTTCCTTCCTTCCTTCCTTTCATTCTATTGAGGTAAAACTCATGTATACCCTTATATTAGTTTTGGATATACAGTAGAGTGATTCACCATTTGTATATATTATGAAATGATCACCACAATAAGTCTAGTTTAAACATCCATCACCATACATAGTTACAAAATTTTTTTTCTTGTGATGAGAACTTTCAAATCTACTGTCAGCAACTTTGAAATATGCAATACAGCATTATTAACTATAGTTGCCATGCTGTACATTACATGACTTACTTTATAACTGGTAGTTTGTACCTTTCGACTCCCTTCACCCATTTCGCCCACTCTCCACCCCCTCCCCCCACCCCTGCCTCTGGCAACCACCGATCTGTTCTCTGTATCTATAAGCTTGGGAGATTTTTTGTTTTTTTAGATTGCACATATAAGTGAGATCATATGGTATTTGTCTTTCTCTTTCTGACTTACTTTACTTAGCATAATGCCCTCAAGTTCCATCTATGTTGTTACAAATGGCAAGATTTCATTCTTTTTTATGGCAGAATAATATTCCATTGTATATACATACTACATTTTCTTTATCTCATTTTCATTTCTTTTTCTGTTTCTTGCACTATTCCTGTCTTCCACACCTCATGTATCCCCTGTTGAGTTTGTTACATAAACAGCTATATTTTGAGTGAGAATTGGTTTTTAGAAGTTTTATTTGAACATATTAATAAGAAAAACCCCAAAACAAACAAAATAAAATTGATCAGGAACATCCCCTGATAAAAGGTTCCACAGAGGTCCATCACTAGCAGTGTTTTTCTTTCACTCCCACTACTGTGAGATGTTGGCCTAATACGTACAATATAATCTCAGTGTTTCATAACTTTTAAAAACAGCTTTATTGAGATATAATTCACATACCATTAGATTTTCACCCATTTAAAGTGTACAATTCAATGGCATTTAGTATATTTGCAGAGTTGTGCAGTCATAACTTTTTGAGAGATATTGTACTACTTATATATTTTATTTAAACATTATTTATGATTTTATAATTGAGGGTTTTCCTTAGAATTTTACCATCAAGATGGAATGATTCTATCCACAAAGGAATTTCAGATGTTAACTCTGATTTGGGTTAAATATTGGACTTTGAGAATCATTTCTTCTCTGAGAAATTGAATTGGAGTTGCTTTTTTTTTTGAATAATAGTTTGAATAATGATGTGGCAGCTGTGAAGGAAAACACCAATACCCCTGATAACCCAAGTGGAAATGGCAAACAAGATCGGATCAAACAGAGAAGAGCTTCCTGTCCTCGATCAGAGAAGGGGACTAAATTTCAGCTTACTGTCCTTCAGGTCAGTGTATAAATATGATTTGGTTAAGAGTGCATGTTGAGGTCTGGGGGGGTCAGGGAGGGGCGATGTTGCTGTGGAGGTGAGTATAGGGTATTATGAAACTCTGCAGCAAACACTCTTGAACACAAATCTTTGTATATATACCTGATTATTTCCTTATGATAGATTCCTAGAAGTAGAATTAGTGGGTCAAAGGGTATGAAGATTTTTTTAAAGTTTCTAAATACGTATTTCTAGGTTACTGTCCATAAAGTTTGGACCAGTTTACATTTCCATTAGCAGTGCATTTTCTTTAGCTTAAAGGGTCAATTTGTGGGAGAATTTTGGAAATGAATGACCAGATTTAGATCTTTGCATTGCAGGTAGCTATAGTGACCGTTGTAACTTTTTTTTTTGCCTTTTCATAAAAGTTGTGTTCCTTTTCTTTCCCACAGGTTCACATTTCTAACTTATTTTTTGCTGAATAATTTGAGCCTTAGATTTGTCATACAATAGTTGTTTAGACAGTATTTCATCAAGGGAAAAACAGAATCTTTTTAGATTCTGAACAGTTTAAACCATTTTTTTCATATATCGTATGTGAGCTCATCCAAATGTTTCCTGCACCATTTACAAAGAGAAGACAATGACTGACTCTTAAACTAGTGACATGTTTGTGCCCAGGTGTCAATCTCTGGAGACAACATGGTGGAGTGTCAACTGGAGACACACAATAACAAGATGGTCACCTTCAAGTTTGATGTTGATGGTGATGCACCAGAGGATATTGCAGACTATATGGTAAGTACAGTAAAACCAAATTATTTTCTCTTAAGCATTCTGTCTCTTTTTCCTCTCTAACTCTCCCCCCATTTATTCAGAGCCATCTTTTTTTAGGGTACTGCTAGTTTTTTAAATTTGTACAGAACTAAATTGGTTATGATCAAGAGTAAGTCACTATACCTCCTCTGGTTTCTGTATATTTATGTGTAAAATATGAGGGAGTTTCATTAAGAGAGGATCTAGGTCAGTGCTTCTTATCCCTAGCTGCATGTCAAAATCACTGGAAGAGTTTTTTAACAACAATTCTGTTGGGAATACCCTGGTGGTCCAGTGGTTAGGACTCGGTGCTTTCACTGCCGTTATCTGGGTTCAATCCCTGGTCGGGGAAATAAGATCCTGCAAGCCACGTGGCACAGCCAAAAAAAAAAAAGCCCCAAACAAAAACTAAAATAAAAATAATTCTGTTGCCTGGGTCCCTAATTAAATCAGAATTTTTGGAGATGAGGCCTAAGCATTAATAGTTTGTAAAGTTCCCCAGGTAATTCTAATGCATTAGCTACTGATATAACATCTTACATATAGGTGTTCAAGTAATGTTCATCATTTCATTTAGTTTTTGTATTTTCTTTGAATTGTTAGGCTTAAGTTAGTATTCCCCTCCTCTTTTTTTTAATGGGGATGATCTAGGGTGGCACGAAGAGTACATAATGCTTTTGTTTCGGCCAGTTTTCTTTGTATATACATTCCTGGCCAAGCAGAATTTAACATTTTAAAAGTTAATAATTTTGTCAGTCTGCCTCTTATTCAATGTAGTGTTTTCTGAACTGTCTCTAGGCCATTCTTTATCATCTTTAGAGATGCTTCATTTTGTGTTTTTTTTTTTTATTTAAAAGCTTTTGCGGGGCTTCCCTGGTGGCGCAGTGGTTGAGAGTCCGCCTTCCGATGCAGGGGACGTGGGTTCGTGCCCCGGTCTGGGAAGATCCCACATGCCGCGGAGCGGCTGGGCCCGTGAGCCATGGCCGCTGAGCCTGCGCGTCTGGAGCCTGTGCTCCACAACGGGAGAGGCCACAGCAGTGACAGGCCAGCGTACTGCAAAAAAAAAAAAAAAAAGCTTTTGCGTTTGGACATCCTAGTTTTAAACGTAAACATTACCTCAGTTACGTTCTTCAAATGGCAATCAATTTATAGAATGCCAGATTTTTTTAAAATGCTGGCTTCTGGTAGGTAGTGCCAATCTGACAAATATCAGTGGTCTCAAAATAGAATAATTTAATGTATTATGTGGCATTTTATTGCTGGTCTTTGTTAATTCTGTTGTGGCATTTAGATCTAAATACCTAATTTATTTTTCTTTATGGTAGTCACCATATTATAATTTTGAAGAAACTAAATTCACTCTTGTGAATAGACTTACTTTTACTTTTGGATAGGTTGAAGATAACTTTGTCCTGGAAAGTGAAAAAGAAAAATTTGTAGAAGAATTGAGGGCTATCGTAGGTCAAGCCCAGGAGATCCTTCATGTCCACTCTGCTGCAGAAAGAGCCATTGGAGCTGACTCTATTACTATGGAATCCAGCAGTAGCCAAGTAAGAGAAATTGCTTAGCAAATAGGTCTTCTCGGATATGTATCAGGAACTTCTTTATTTATCTATTCATTTTTAATTCAGACAGGATCATCTGAACAAGTACAGATAAATTCTGCATCCACTCAAACCAGCAGTAAGTATACTTAATAAAATTTACTATTTGGCTTTTGAAGCAAGACATTTGGAAACTTTTAATGTACACACCTTGGGAAAGATGTTAGCCAATAAAGGAATTTGATAAATTTTTAATGTAGGTTTTCCCACACTTTGAAAGGACTTTATAGCCCAGAAATAAGAAGTAAAAAAAGTGAGAAGTAAAACCATTCTCCAAATTTCCTCCAAGTATTGGTTCTTTACCTGATTAATTTATTTCTGAGTTGTTGCATGGTATGTTACCAGAAAAGCAGTCACAGTACTGCTGACCTTTAATGGCTTTATTGTTTGAACTTAACTGGTAAGTTTTTCGTTTCCTCTATATGAGATGGACAACAACTTTCTTAACTAAAATCATTATGTTCTAAGTTTGCCTCATGTTTTAATAGCATTAGTATCTTGATTTCATTCTACCAATGATATGCTTCTACCTGCTCTGATCACTAAGTTTTTGTAAATCAGATACCAGATAAACTGCCAGGGACTAAAAATGGGGTCTTCTATTTTCTTTTCTCATAAATTTATCTCTCCATTCTTCTCAGCTCTGGTCATGGGTATATTTAGAGTGTCTGGGATGGGGAGGAGAGCCACAGACAAATGAGGACATCTGAAGGAATTATAACAGCATGAAGAAGCAACAGGTGGTGTGGGAGTCATGGAACCAGATACCATTACCCTCAAATGTAGTTTGTGTTAGGATGCCAGGGTTCTCCTCTGTCTTCTTTTTCTCATTAGCAGGAGTCTGAGTAGATTTCTTTTTATTTATTTATTTATGGCTGTGTTGGGTCTTTGTTGTTGCGTGCAGGCTTTCTCTAGTTGCAGCAAGTGGGGTCTGCTCTTCGTTGTGGTGTGCGGGCTTCTCACTGTGGTGGCTTCTCATTGTGGAGCACAGGCTCGAGGAGTGCAGGCTTCAGTAGTTGTGGTACACAGGCTCTAGTTGTGGCGCACTGGCTCAGTAGCTCCACGGCATGTGGGATATTCCCAGACCAGGGCTCGAACCCATGTCCCCTGCATTGGCAGGCGGATTCTTAACCACTGCACCACCAGGGGAGTCCCTGAGTATATTTCTGACTGGCAAAGTTGGGTAAAGTTTAAAAGAGAATAACTTATTTGAATAAGTTAACAAAGTAGGAGTACAGATGTAGGGGCTTATTTTACTTTATTTTTTAAGTTGTCATACAGTAAAATAGACTTTTTTTTCTTTTGGTGTAGGGTTCTGTAAATTTTAGTCCTCTTATAGATTTGTGTAAGCACCACCATAATCAGGATACAGAACCGAAGATGTAGGTTTTAGTGGAAAAAGTGCTTTTCGTTTTTTTCCCAAAACTGCCCTGCTTTTAATTGCTATTGATACAATGTTTGTTTCCGTAGAATCCAAAATCCTTCTCTAAAGATATCTTGTGCATAGTTGTTAGAGTATTTTTCAGTCAGGGTTGGGAGGTCTGGTCTTATAAGTTACACATATCCTAGTGCCGTTGGAAATGGAGATAAAAGACAAAACGGTGTTTTAACCTGGTTTCCTTAGTCAATAGGTAAACATATTGACAATTGATTAGCATATTAATTTTTGCCAATTCTTTCTACAGATGAATCTGCTCCTCAGTCATCCCCAGTTGGTCGATGGCGATTTTGTATCAATCAGACAATAAGAAACCGTGATGCTCAATCTCCTTCTTCTCTTCAGCAGTCCATGTCTACAGTTCCTGGGCTAAATCTGCTTTCTAGTAAGTGTTTGTTCTCTGCCACCTTTATCCAGACCTGGAAGATGGGGATGCAAAATATACACTGTATCTTTAACTTGTTTTCATGGGTATTTTATGCTTATGAGAATTTTCATAAGCATTTTTGAAGATATTAATGTTAGGAGGGAACTTAAGCCATTTAAATTTTAATATTTATGGGAAAAAAAGGAAAAGGTTTTTCTCCTTGTTAGGTTGAATTCTGTGTATTTTGAGTCTTATTTACAAGAGTACTTTCACACAGGTTCTAATTTGCCCCTTGCTCCTCCTGTTCCTTTTGAGTTTGGGTACTAGTCCATGCTTTGTACTTACCATACATGCTTAGCCATTCTTTGTTATTGTTCCAGGTCCAAGAAACATAAGTAATAAGGAAATATCACAGGACACGCTGCTCACTCTAGAAAATAATCCATGCCAGCGTGCACTTTACACCTCCACATCAGAACACAAGGATGTAGTTGATGGTAAGATTTCTGAATATGCCAGTGTAGAAACTAAGCAGCCAGCTATACTTTATCAAGTGGAAGATGACAAGCAGATAATGGCACCAGTTGCTAGTAGTTCCAGTCTTGAATGTGAGGGACTCACCAGCCAAGCAGGCATATTCCTACCTGTGTATCCAGGTCACCAAGCTGCCAGTCAGGCAGCTCCTGGTGAGTCAACTCAGATTGCTCCTAACTCTCTTACAACTCCGGCATTTATGTCTGATCAAAAGCCTCAGTCCTTACCGGTGCAGCAGCCAACTACGGATGCAGAGTTTATTTCCCAAGAAGGAGAAACCGCAGTGATCGTGGAAGCAAGTTCTCCTAAGATGGTCATTCCCACTCAGACCCCTGGCCTTGAACCAACTAGCCTGCTGTCCTCTACGGTCCTGGAATCAGATGGGGAAGGACCTCCAAAAATGGAGTTTGCAGACAACCGAATTAAAACTCTGGATGAAAAATTAAGAAATTTGCTCTATCAGGAGCATAGCATATCTAGCATCTATCCTGAGAGTCAGAAGGATACCCAAAGCATAGATTCTCCGCTTTCTTCCTCTGCTGAAGACACAGTCTCATGTCCAGTGCCAGAATTCATAGGCATCAGTCCCTGTGGAATTCAAGATAGTCCTGCACAGTCCCCTAATTTTCAGCAGACAGGCTCTAAGATTCTGTCCAATGTGACTGTGAGTCAGCCTGCTAACATATCAGTGTTCAAAAGGGACCTGAATGTGATAACTTCTATACCCAGCGAATTATGTTTACATGTAAGTATCATTCTTTCTAACCAATTCCTTATCCTATGCTTTTAAAGAAATGCCTTCTTTTCTAAAGTTCTGTCCTTTGAAATGAAATTATCTATGTCACAAGATTCTGAGGTCACAGGTATTTAAGAAGGCCATAGCTTAGGCTGCAGGGGCCTAGAACTTATTAGAGATGGTAGAACTTTCTTGGTGAGAGAGCCCTCTGGTGAATTAGCTAGGAACTTGTGAGCAATGTTTATTTTTGTATTAATGACAGAACAGGACTGATTTATAGATTGTTTTAGTGGGTAGGAAGAACTTGCTTTTAGATTTCCACTTAAAAATTCCTGTTATCAGTTTCATTTTTAAAAATATTATGGTTTTAATTTAATCTTGTTTGTGGGTTTTTATTTATTTAAAAAAATATTTTAAAAGAAAAAAAACCCATAATCTCATGACTTGTTTTTTTTAACTTATGTAATGTAGGAATTTAATTTCTCTTTCCTGTTCCTTCAACTCATAGGGATAACCACTATCTGGTGCTTATCCACTATATGGTACTAATCCTTCTTGACTTAAGCTTATACAGATCTACTTACAAACCTACAACTTCTTATTCACAAAAATAGTATTGTGCTATAAACATATTGGTCTACAACTTAATTTTTTAATTTTACAGTATATCATAGACATATTTTAAAATATTTATCACTGTATCTCTTTATTATTGTTATTATTATATAAGTAGTATATGCATGTATATAAAGTAAAATCCACCCCACTTCTAAACCTATAGACACAGCTGTTGATAAATCTTCCCAGACATGGTTTTCACTAATATACAAATATTTATATAGCACTTCTTTATATGTATTATATCTGTTTACAAAGACACAGATACATACTATATATACACATACTTCCTTACATACATGTGCATTCTAAATTTTTTTCCCACTTATGGACATCTATCCATGTCAGTATACATAGTTCCACCTCACCTAACTTTTCAAAAAATATATTTATTTATTTATTTGGCTGCATTGGGTTTTAGTTGCGGTGTGCAGGCTTCTCTCTAGTTGTGGCTCTTGGGCTCTATAGCGCACAGGCTTGGTAGTTGCGGCGCACGGGCTTAGTTGCCCCGCGGCGTGTGGGATCTTAGTTCCCCAACCAGGGATTGAACCTGCATCCCCTACGTTGGAAGGTGGATTCTTAACCACTGGACCACCAGGGAAGTCCCCTCACCTAACTTTTTTAAACAACAGCATAATATTCCATTGAGCAAATATAATTTAAGTACTTATTTTTTGGTAAACTAGTAATTTAAAATTATGCAATTAATGCATAAATGCAAAAGAAATTCAGAAGGATAGAAAATTAAAAGGAATTGTTGTGTTAACACTCCCACTCCCCAAACACTATTAAGTTCCTGGTTTTAATTCTTGTGGTCATTGCTATTAATAACTTATAAATAATATACTTATCGATTTTTTGATTTAGTAATTTTATACAATAAAATTTGACTCACTTCTATGAAGGGTAGAGAAATTATATTTTCCCTTTCCTCTACTTTTCTTCCCCATACACCTCCCAATTTTTATTACTTAAATTACTTTTTAACATTGGCAAAGTTTATAACATCTACATTTTTTTCTTTATCGGTTTTGCTTTGTCTGTAGGTTGATTGGAAGAACTGAAAATCAGTAAACAGCATTTATATTATGATTATTTGTGTTATCTGATAATCACGTAACATGATTAGAACCATAAAAAAATGAAATGTAGGGCTTCCCTGGTGGCGCAGTGGTTGAGAGTCCGCCTGCCGATGCAGGGGACACGGGTTCATGCCCCGGTCTGGGAGGATCCCACATGCCGCGGAGCGGCTGGGCCCGTGAGCCACGGCTGCTGAGCCTGCGCTTCCGGAGCCTGTGCTCCGCAACGGGAGAGGCCACGACAGTGAGAGGCCCGTGTACTGCAAAAAAAAAAAAAAAAAAAAGAAAGAAATGTAATTCTCTGTCATTTAAACTTTGTTGCTCAGGAGACTCTTCCAAGTGTCAAGGTTAAATGGATTCTTTTGTTTGTTTCAAGTGTCCATTGCTACATCTAGATCAAACTTATTACCTGCCACTGTTTCTGGTGTCCTAGAATTCCTTTTTATTTCCCCCCTGAAATGCTTCTATGAGTAATATTTTAAAATATGTTGCATGTGTGACCAATTTTTTTTAATGTCCAGAAATATCTTTATTTTGCTTCATAATTAAGTACAGATGGTAGGATCATTTTGAGTTAATTTTTGTATATGGTGTGAGATAAAGGTCCAGCTTCATTCTTTTGCATGTGGCTATCCAGTTGTTCCAGCACTGTTTGTTATTTTATTCTTTGTTGTTATTATAAATGAAATTGTTTTCTTAATTTCCTTTTCAGATTTTTCATTGCTAGTGTATAGAAATACGATTGATTTTTGATTGTTGATGTTGTATCCTTCAACTTCGCTGAGTTTTTTTTATTAGCTGTGATAGCTTTTGGTAGATTTTCTATATAATATCAGTATATAAGATCTTATCTGTGAATAGAGACAGTTTTATTTCTTCATTTCCTTTTTTTCTTATCTATTAACTTTTCATTTCATGCTTTTTAAAAAATTTTTTGGCTGCATGTGGTCTTCATTGCTGCGTGTGGGCTTTCTCTAGTTGCTGCGAGTGGGGGCTATTCTTTGTCGCAGTGTGCGGGCTTCTCATTGCGGTGGCTTCTGTTGTTGCGGAGCCCGGGCTCTAGGCATGCAGGCTTCAGTAGTTGTGGCATGCAAGCTCTAGAGCGCAGGCTCTGTAGTTGTGGCGCACGGGCTTAGTTGCTCCACGGCATGTGGCATCTTCTTGGACCAGGAATTGAACCTGTGTTCCCTCCATTGGCAGGCAGATTCTTAACCACTGCACCACCAGGGAAGTCCCTCATTTCATGCTTTCCATCTCTTTGTCCTTTTGCTTTTTGTACTGGGAGAATGTCTCAACCTTTAAGCTGTTTATAATCTCCTATTCAGCTATTTTTTTTATGTCAAGGATTGCATTTTTAATTTCTAGTAACTATAGTTCATTCTTTTTCTTATGGATATAGTATATTCACACATCTCTTTCAACATATTAAAGTCTTATTAATGCTGTTTCCCTGGGTATGCTGTTTGTTGAGTTTAGTGTTTTCTTAAAGTGCTGGATTCCCAAAAGTGTTGGTGATTCTTCGTTGTGTACTCAGTTTTTCTTTTTCCCCCATAAGATACCCTGTTTGTCTGTTTGTAAATGTTATATATACTTACTATAGCCTTACTCCAGTAATTGTGGGAAAAGCATGGGACATGCTTCCTGGCACTGGGTATTGCAAATTGTCTTTAATGCTGCCCAGAGGGAGGTCCAATAGCTAGTCTTCAAAGGTAGCAGGGCTTCCCCTTACTCCTGGATCTTGTCTCTTCCCTACATTACTGACCTTTTTCTTGGCAATAAACATTTTCCTCCTTACCACTCTTATTTGGGAGCAGATTCCTCTGCTGTCTTTTGTTTATTGTGGAGATGAGGTGGGAAGGTGCCCCAACCAGTTCACTCATCCATTCAGTGAATATCTGCTGAGCAGTGAATAAGTCAAGATCTCTGTTTTTGTGGAGCTCACATTCTAGTCGGGGAAGATAGATTCTAAACAAATAAATAAAGGGCTATGATAGAAAGACTAAGGAATTACTTTATATAGGGTGGTCAGGGAAGGATTTGTATGTGATGGTGACATTCATAGGTGGAGACCTGTTCCAGGAAACAAAAGAAGGCCAGTAAGTAGGAGAGTGTTATAAGATGATGCTGAAGTGACAGATACGAGACAGATAGATTGTTATAGCTTTGTAAACATTCTGTCCAACCACCCATCCTTTCGGTTGGCCAGGGCGCTCTCTCCTGCTGCCCATATCTACCACCTCAATTTGCTGCATTTTGAAACAGTTCCTGCATATATCATTATGCATTGAAGGAGGCTGCTTTTTCCTCCTTTAATCTTATATGCAGGGCTTCTCTGGTGGCCCAGTGGTTAAGAATCCGCCTGCCAATGCAGGGGACACGGGTTTGAGCTCTGGTCTGGGAAGATCCCACATGCCACGGAGCAACGAAGCCCGTGTGCCACAACTACTGAACCTGTGTTCTAGACTTTGTGGGCCACAACTACTGAAGCCCACGTGCCTAGAGCCCGTGCTCTGCAATAAGAGAAGCCACCACAATGAGAAGCCCACGCACCACAATGAAGCGTAGCCCCCGCTCGCTGCAACTAGAGAAAGCCCGCACACAGCAATGAAGATCCAACGCAGCTAAAAAATTAATTAATTAATTAATTTAAAAAATCTTATATGCATGTGTCTACATCTGTTTTTCCTGTTGTACCTGTGGATTTGGATTGGTAAGGGAGGCTAGAACTTGTATTTAATTTATCATCTTGATCCAGTTATTACTTAATAAAAATCTTTTCTGTAATTTCTGTGGGACCAATGCAACACTTTCTAAATCATAATATTATTGAGAGTTTTTTCCTCTTTATGAAAGTAGTATTACTTGTCCAAAATGGGACTTTGGAAAATAAAAACTGTTCAGAATTTTACTTTTAATAACTGCTGAATTAAGTGTTAATAATGCTTACCCCAAACCGCAGTTTACTTAGTGCCGCTTAGGCTGTCTTCCTTCAGACAAATGCTGAATCCCTTTCTTTGAACTTTTACTCTTTTAATTTTCTAAATTAGTAGGGGCCATGCTCATGTTTCCCAAAGTATTTCTGGCTCTGTATATTAATTTCTTATATTAGTTATTATAAGAAATTTATTTTTAGAATACTCAGAATACAGCAGCAGTTAACTCTGATTTTTGAGGGGAGGGATGGGAGGACAAGAGGAGGGAAGAATGATTTTATAGCCAGCTGCGGCCTGATGTTAACAGTTTTTAGAGTTTGAATTTGAAATAATTTTGAGGTCCATTGTAAATTTCTGTGTGCTTATGTAATGTAAGAAACTTGATTTGGTAATATATTTCTGTAAATGTAAATGCCTAGACATCTTGTTTTTCTGTTTATCATGCATGTCAGGCATCTTAAACTCTCTTAGATAATATAAGCATAAATGAAACTTTCCATTTTAAGATCATAGGGTTTAAGTAACCATTTTTAGTGAATTGGTGCATATGAGGGTTATTTCCTTCATATTTTAATTTTCAGTTTTCAAAGGTGCTATAATAAAAAATATTCTAGGGTGGAAGTTTAATATTCTGCTGTTTTATTTATCTGAAGTCTAAATAGTATTTTTAAAGAAAGGGGAAGGCTTAATTCCTATAAGTTTAATACTTCAGGTTTAGTCTGATATGATACTATTAATAGAAGTATACATAGCATTCTATTTTTTTTACATTTTTATTGGAGTATAATTGCTTTACAATGGTGTGTTAGTTTCTGCTTTATAACAGAGTGAATCAGTTATACATATACATATATCCCCATATCTCTTCCCTCTTGAGTCTCCCTCCCTCCCACCCTCCGTATCCCACCCTTCTAGATGGTCACAAAGCACCGAGCTGATCTCCCTGTGCTACGCGACTGCTTCCCACTAGCTATCTCTTTTACACTTGGTAGTGTATATATGTTCATATACGCACTACCACTCTCTCACTTTGTCCCAGCTTACCCTTCCCCCTACCCGTGTACTCAAGTCCATTCTCTAGTAGGTCTGTGTGTTTATTCCCGTCTTGCCCCAGGTTCCTCATCACCTTTTTTTTTTTTTTTTTAGATTCCATATATATGTGTTAGCATACGGTATTTGGTTTTCTCTTTCTGACTTACTTCACTCTGTATAACAGTCTCTAGGTCCATCCACCTCACTACAGATAACTCAATTTCATTTCTTTTTATGGCTGAGTAATATTCCATTGTATAAATGTGCCACATCTTCTTTATCCATTCATCTGTTGATGGACACTTAGGTTGCTTCCATGTCCTCACTATTGAAATAGTGCTGCAATGAACATTGTGGTACATGACACTTTTTGAATTATGGTTTTCTCAGGGTATATGCCCAGTAGTGGGATTGCTGGGTCGTGTGGTAGTTCTACTTTTAGTTTTTTAATGAACCTCCATACTGTTCTCCATAGTGGCTGTATCAATTTACATTCCCACCAACAGTGTATGAGGGTTCCCTTTTCTCCACATCCTCTCTGGCATTTATTGTTTGTAGATTTTTTGATGATGGCCATTCTGACCAGTGTGAGATAATATAGCATTGTAGTTTTGATTTGCATTGCTCTAATGATTAATGATGTTGAGCATCCTTTCATATGTTTGTTGGCAATCTGTATATCTTCTTTGGAGAAATGTCTATTTAGGTCTTCTGCCCGTTTTTGGATTCGGTTGTTTGTTTTTTTGATATTGAGCTGCATGAGTTGCTTGTATGTTTTGGAGATTAATCTGTTTTCAGTTGCTTCATTTGCAAATGTTTTCTCCCATTCTGAGGGTTGTCTTTTGGTCTTGTTTATGGTTTCCTTTGCTGTGCAAAAGGTTTTAAGTTTCATTTAAGTTTCATTCCCATTTGTTTACTTTGTTTTTATTTCCATTTCTCTAGAAGGTGGGTCAAAAAGGATCTTGCTGTGATTTATGTTATAGAGTGTTCTGCCTATGTTTTCCTCTAAGAGTTTGATAGTGTCTGGCCTTACATTTAGGTCTTTAATCCATTTTGAGTTTATGTTTGTGTACGGTTAGGGAGTGTTCTAATTTCATTCTTTTACATGTAGCTGTCCAGTTTTCCCAACACCACTTATTGAAGAGGCTGTCCTTTCTCCACTGTACATTCCTGCCTCCTTTATCAAAGATAAGGTGACCATATGTGCGTGGGTTATTATCTCTGGGCTTTCTATCCTGTTCTATTGATCTATATTTCTGTTTTTGTGCCAGTACCATACTTTCTTGATTACTGTAGCTTTGTAGTATAGTCTGAAATCAGGGAGCCTGATTCCTCCAGCTCCGTTTTTTTCCCTCAAGATTGCTTTGGCTATTCAGGGTCTTTTGTGTTTCCATACAAATTGTGAAATTTTTTGTTCTAGTTCTGAGAAAAATGCCAGTGGTAGTTTGATAGGGATTGCATTGAATCTGTAGATTGCTTTGGATAGTATATTCATTTTCACAATGTTGATTCTTCCAATTCAAGAACATGGTATATCTCTCCATCTATTTGTATCATCTTTAATTTCTCTCATCAGTGTCTTATAATTTTCTGCATACAGGTCTTTTGTCTCCTTAGGTAGGTTTATTCCTAGGTATTTTATTCTTTTTCTTGCAATGGAAAATGGGATTTAATTTAATTTCACTTTCAGATTTTTCAGCATTAGTGTATAGGAATGCCATAAATTTCTGTGCATTAATTTTGTATCCTGCTACTTTCCCAAATTCATTGATTAGCTCTAGTAGTTCTGGTAGCATCTTTAGGATTCTCTATGTATAGTATCATGTCATCTGCCAACAGTGACAGTTTTACTTGTTCTTTTCCGATTTGGATTCCTTGCACTTCTTTTTCTTCTCTGATTGCTGTGGCTAAAACTTCCAAGACTATGTTGAATAATAGTGGTGAGAGTGGGCAACCTTGTCTTGTTCCTGATCTTAGTGGAAATGGTTTCGGTTTTTCACCATTGAGGACGATTTTGGCTGTGGGTTTGTCATGTATGGCCTTTATTATGTTGAGGTAAATTCCTTCTGTGCCTACTTTCTGGCGGGTTTTTATCATAAATCAGTGCTGAATTTTGTCGAAAGCTTTCTCTGCATCTATTGAGATGATCATATGGTTTTTCTCCTTCAATTTGTTAATATGGTGTATCACATTGATTGCTTTGTGTATACTGAAGAATCCTTGTGTTCCTGGGATAAACCCCACTTGATCATGGTGTATGATCCTTTTAATGTGCTGTTGGATTCTGTTTGCTAGTATTTTGTTGAGGATTTTTGCATCTATATTCATCAGTGATATTGGCCTGTAGTTTTCTTTTTTTGTGACATCTTTGTCTGGTTTTTGTATCAGAGTGATGGTGGCCTCGTAGAATGAGTTTGGGAGTGTTCCTCCCTCTGCTATATCTTGGAAGAGTTTGAGAACGATAGGTGTTAGCTCTTCTCTAAATGTTTGATAGAATTTGCCTGTGAAGCCCTCTGGTCCTGGGCTTTTGTTTGTTGGAAGATTTTTAATCACAGTTTCAATTTCAGTGCTTGTGATTGGACTGTTCATATTTTCTGTTTCTTCCTGGTTCAGTCTTGGAAGGTGGCGCCTTTCTAAGAATTTGTCCATTTCTTCCAGGTTGTCCATTTTACTGGCATAGAGTTGCTTGTAGTAATCTCTCATGATCCTTTGTATTTCTGTAGTTTCAGTTGTTACTTCTCCCTTTTCATTTCTAATTCTATTGATTTGAGTCTTCTCCCTTTTTTTCTTGATGAGTCTGGCTAATGGTTTATCTATTTTGTTTATCTTCTCAAAGAACCAGCTTTTAGTTTTACTGATCTTTGCTATCGTTTCCTTCATTTCTTTTTCATTTATTTCTGATTTGAGCATTATGATTTCTTTCCTTCTGCTAACTTGGGATTTTTTTGTTCTTCTTTCTCTAATTGCTTTAGGTGTAAGGTTACGTTGTTTATTTGAGATGTTTCTTGTTTTTTAAGGTAGGTTTGTATAGCTATAAACTTCCCCCTTAGAACTGTTTATGCTGCATCCTGTAGGTTTTGGGTCGTCGTGTTTTCATTGTCATTTGTTTCTAGGTATTTTTTGATTTCCTCTTTGATTTCTTCAGTGATCTCTTGGTTATTTAGTAGTGTATTGTTTAGCTTCCATGTGTTTGTATTTTTTATAGATTTTTTCCCCATAATTGGTATCTAGCCTCATAGCGTTTTGGTCAGAAAAGATACTTGATATGATTTCAATTTTCTTAAATTTACCAAGGCTTGATTTGTGACCCAAGATATGATCTATCCTGGAGAATGTTCCATGAGCACATGAGAAGAAAATGTATTCTGTTGTTTTTGGATGGAGTGTCCTGCAAATATCAATTAAGTCCATGTCATTTAATGTATCATTTAAAGCTTGTGTTTCCTTATTTATTTTCATTTTGGATGATCTGTCCATTGGTGAAAGTGGGGTGTTAAAGTCCCCTACTATGATTGTGTTACTGTCGATTTCCCCTTTTATGGCTGTTAGTATTTGCCTCATGTGTTGAGCTGCTTCTATGTTGGGTGCATAAATATTTGCAATTGTTATATCTTCTTCTTGGGTTGATCCCTTGATCATTATGTAGTGTCCTTCTTTGTCTCTTGTAATAGTCTTTGTTTTGAAGTCTATTTTGTCTGATATGAATATTGCTATTCCCGCTTTCTTTAGATTTCCATTTGCATGGAATATCTTTTTCTCTCCGCTCACTTTCAGTCTGTATATCTCCCAGGTCTGAAGTGGGTCTCTTGTAGGCAGCATATATATGGGTCTTGTTTTTGTATCCATCCAGCCAGTCTATGTCTTTTGGTTGGAGCATTTAATCCATTTACATTTAGGTAATTATCGATATGTATGTTCCTATTCCCATTTTCTTAATTGTTTTGGGTTTGTTATTGTAGGTCTTTTCCTTCTCTTGTGTTTTCTGCCTAGAGAAGTTCCTTTAGGATATAGCATTCTATTTTTGATTACTGATTAGTCCATACAAGAAACTCCAGTGGTAGAAACAGTTGCTCCACCTCACCTAAATTACTACCATTTTGGTTTTCCTCTTTTTGTCTCCATTAGGAGATGTCCCCAGATGCTTCACTTCCAGGGGATCCAGAGGCCTATCCTGCTGCTGTGTCAAGCGGTGGAGCCATTCATCTGCAGACAGGAGGTGGATATTTTGGCCTAAGCTTTACTTGTCCTAGTCTCAAAAATCCTATTAGCAAGAAATCCTGGAGTCGCAAATTAAAAAGCTGGGCATACAGGCTACGGCAGTCAACCAGCTTTTTCAAGAGATCAAAAGTCCGTCAAGGTAGTGTGCTTACAGTCAGGGACATAGACTAGGTAACATCATTTTTCGTTTACTTCTGTTTCTTTTTGTTGTTGTTCATACACAAATCTTGCCACTTTTTCCATGTAGCCCATGTATGTGACACGTCCCATTAATGTCATTGCCATTTTATTTTTCCTTTTGTAACTAATTTGATTTTAAAGTATTCATTTCATATAGATACTAAGTCTCGGGATAAATCTTGCAATGTCTGATTCAGAATTAGGGACTTCTACAGTGTTGCTTATTACATTAACACTTTTTAAATTGTCTAGCAGGAGTTAAGCTTTTTCTACTTTTCTTCATTTTTGGTAATGTAAACAAATGTTGTCTTAACAAGCAATTTTCTCCTTTCTGCTTACAATTTGGCAAAACTTGCAGTGGATACAGAAGATACGAGATCACCAGTTGCTCCTGACCCCATTCCTCTGACAGGAGAGTCCACAGCTGATGCTAGGGCTTTCAGTAGATGTAAAGCAATGAGTGGAACATTTCAGCGGGGTCGGTTCCAGGTTTGTGTCTTTGGTTAAATCATTATCTACAAAGGCATTATAAAAGGTAACAGCATTGAAGATCTATGTCTGTAGATGGTAATTATTTTAAATGTAGATCATTATCATATTTAATTTTTCCCCTTATATGCATCCTGTCACCTTCTGTAGCCATCCACTAAAGGCGAGTCTAAAGAAATGAGGATTTTAGTAGCTGGACCGGAGCACAGAAATGGGTCATCATTTTTTGGTGGGTGGTTGGGTCATCTTTTTTATAAATCTAATTTCATGTCCTTTAGAATCTTGGCAATTGAATTTTTTTCTTTTTTTTTTTTTGCGGTATGCGGGCCTCTCACTGTTGTGGCCTCTCCCGTTGCGGAGCACAGGCTCCGGACGCGCAGGCTCAGCGGCCATGGCTCATGGGCCCAGCTGCTCCGCGGCACGTGGGATCTTCCTGGACCGGGGCATGTATCCGCATCCCCTGCATCGGCAGGTGGACTCTCAACCACTGCGCCACCAGGGAAGCCCTCATTTTATTTTTTATTTGAAGTATAGATGATTTACAATATTGTGTTAGTTTTAGGTGTACATATGGAATGTTTTTTAATTGCAGAATTTTATTTGAGCAATATGAAGCCAATTCTCTTTGCAAAGGGCCCAATTGCAAAGCTTTTAATATGGCAAGTATAGATGGGATTTTTTAGTTTTGGTATTATCAGTGTTTGTACATTACAGAAGACCATCCAATTGTCTGTGTCATATATTGATATTGAATTTCTTTGTGGGTTTACTCTTTGGTTAGGCAGAGCCAGCCACCTTTGCCTTTTTGTATTTCAGGTGATTACAGTTCCTCAGCAGCAGTCAGTGAAAGTGACGTCTTCTGTAATAGAACGCATACCAGCATTCAATAAAATGACAAGCCAGCCTAGTGAAGAAGCTTTAGCCTTTACTAAAACAGCAAAGTCTCAATTGGTAGAAATGGAACCTGCCACACACAATCTGCAACCTTCACTTTCTTCTCAGAAGTTACAAGCTCTTCAGGAAACCTTAAAAGAAGATAAAAGAATTCCCAAACAAGCTGACAACTTCTCATCTTTCCGTACGGCTTGTGAGACTGATGTATCTTTGATGACTCCAGAAAAGGAATTGGAAGAAAATTCAGCCACAGGAAGTAGCATGCAGTCTGGATCTGAACTGTTGTTTAAAGAGAGAGAGATACTTACTGCTGGGATGCAGCCTACCTCTAATAGTGAATTTTCAGCCACTCTTGGTGGCAGAGGGAAATCAGTGGCAAAGGCTGGTCCAGAGAGAGAAAAGTGCTTACCACTCCGTGAAGAAAAAGCCTATGTTCAAACACAGAGCTCACTCTTCTATTCACCGTCTTCCCCAATGAGCAGTGATGATGAGTCAGAAGTAGAGGATGAGGACTTAAAGGTGGAGCTTCAAAGATTACGAGAAAAGTAAGGACTGCTTCTCTTTTGTCACAAATTTGATTGCCTTGGGTTTTATAGAGCTAAGTATTTGATTGGTAACTAATTTTGGATTGGTGACATTTTAATGACGGAAAAAATTTATGGTTGAAAACTACAAAGATAGCATCAGATCCCACAGGCTAAGGGCTCAGTCCCACAAGACTGCCTCCTTTCAGATGCCCATCACGAGTCCAGGTAGTGTTACCTATGCTTCTTACCAACCTGTTATAAATCAGAGGTTCCCACAAACCCCTCCCCAGGTTTGATTACCTTGCTAGAGTGGCTTACAGAGCTCAGGAAAACAGTTTCCTTACTAGATTATTGGTTTATTATAAAAGGATACAACTCAAGAACAGCCAGATGGCAAGGTATAGGGGAAGGGGCATGGAACTTCATGGCCTCCCAGAAGTGCCACTCTCCCAGCGCCTCATGTCTTCACTGACCTAGAAGCTCTTAGAACCCCTGTAGTTCACGGATTTTTATGGAAGCTTCATTACATAGGCATGATTGATTAAATCGTTGGCCATTGGTGATTAATTCAACTTCCATCCTTATTCCCCTCCTTAGAGGTACCCATCGTTAGGGGCTATCCAAAAGTCACTTCGTGATCAGAGGGGCTTGTTTTGAATAATGAGACACTCCTTTTACCTTTATCACCCTGGAACTATTTCAGGAACTGGAGCTATTTGAGGACAAAAGACCAAATATTATAACAAAAGATTCTCCCATTGCTCTTATCACTTAGGAAGTTACAAGGATTTTAGGAGCTGTGTGCCAAGAACAGGGACAAAGACCAAATATATCTTTTTTATTATAAAACATAATATCACAACAGTAAAAATGCACACAAACCAGTCTCCTATTTCTCATGCCCTAATCTCATTTCTCAGAGGCGACCACTATGAACTATTTGGTATATATCTTGCCTGTCATTTTTCTTGCATTTACAAGTATATAGTTTTTGAGTTTTATAAAAGTGGGATCATAATATATGTTACTCTACAATTTTTTGACTTAACATTGTCTCCTCTTCATATTCATGTTTGCACAAATAATCTTTATTCCATACATTGGAATAGCATATAGCCATTTAAAGTTTATTTAATCTCTCCTTAATGGGCATTTCAGTTTTATCCCATATTTTGCTTATGTAAAAAATGTTGAAGGCAACATCCTTATATTTTTACATACTTATGTTAGTATTTTTGTAGGATAGATACCTAAAAGTGGAATTGCTGGGTTAAAAGGTTTGTACATTTAAAATTGTCATCCAGTGTAGATATACCATTTTACACACCAAACAGAAATATATGAAAGTGCCTGTTTTCCCACACCTTAACAAGATTAGACTGGATATTATTGATTCTTTTCATTTTATTCCAATCAGATGAATAAAAAATAGTTTAAAAAATCTGTGTTCTATGTATGCTAACACATATATATGGAATCTAAAAGAAAAGAAATGGTTCTGAAGAACCTAGGGGCAGGATAGGAATAAAGACGCAGACGTAGAGAATGGACTTGAGGACACGGGGAGGGGGAAGGGTAAGCTGGGACGAAGTGAGAGAGTGGCATGGACATATATACACTACCAAATGTAAAATAGGTAGCTAGTGGGAAGCAGCCACATAGCACAGGGAGATCAGCTAGGTGCTTTGTGACCACCTAGAGGGGTGGGATAGGGAAGGTGGGAGGGAGACAGAAGAGGGAGGAGATATGGGGATGCATGTATATGTATAGCTGATTCATTTTGTTATACAGCAGAAACTAACACACCATTGTAAAACAATTATACTGCAATTAAGATGTTAAAAAATTTGTGTTCTAATTAATACTAAGGATGTGCATCATCTCATATTTATTGGCTACTTGTATTTCCTCTTCTTTGGAGTCACCTTTTCATACTCTTTCCCCCTTTTTCTATAAAGTTTCTTTTTTTCTTATTGATTTTTAGGAGCTATTTATATATTCTGAATATTAACCTTTTACTATATGTTACAAATTTTTTTCCTGTTTATACTTGCAACATATAATAAAGAAAAGGTTAATATTATCAGTACTATGAGACTTTAATTTTTTTGTTGTTTTTTTTGCGGTATGCGGGCCTCTCACTGTTGTGGCCTCTCCCGTTGCGGAGTACAGGCTCCGGACGCGCAGGCTCAGTGGCCATGGCTCACGGGCCCAGCTGCTCCGCAGCATGTGGGATCTTCCTGGACTGGGGCACGAACCCGTGTCCCCTGCATCGGCAGGCGAACTCTCAACCACTGCGCCACCAGGGAAGCCCGAGACTTTAATTTTTTTAATTATTTTTTACTGTACTGAAGTTTTAGAAATTCATTTTTGTCAATTTATTGAGCTTTTTGTTTATGTCTGATTAGTTTAATGTCACACTTAGGAAGGCATTGAAAATCTTAAAATTGTGAAAATATTCTGTATTTCCACATTCTTAATCTAAATTCCTTGTTAAACTTTACTTGTACTGGTAGAGTTCCTTGGCTCATCTGTATGGTGCCTGTGCCATTAAAACGCTTTCTGCATGATTTTCCTTCAGACACATTCAAGAGGTGGTAAATCTTCAAACCCAGCAGAATAAGGAGCTACAGGAGCTCTATGAACGCCTTCGGGCAATTAAAGATGGCAAAGTCCAATCATCAGAAATTCCTCTACCACCTGCATCACCACGTAGACCAAGATCTTTCAAAAGCAAACTTCGAAGCCGTCCCCAGTCCTTGACACATGTGGACAGTGGCACAGTTGCAACAGGTAAATCAATCTTAAAAGTGATTAAAAAAAACTGGTCAAAGATCAGCAAAATTAGAAAAATAACAATAATTAACTTATTTTTTATTAAGCTAAGGTGATTTAAAGAAGTATACATTATTCTGAGGTTCTTTTCCACTTTGTTGGTGCTGAATGTTCTTTTATGAAATAATGATGATAGGTGATAGATTTTGGAGAGCAGATGAGTGTTATGTTTTCATTTGGAAAACAAATACCTGGAAACCCAGTTTAAATCCCCAAAATAAGTTTTTGAAATGTTGGTAGTCAATGGGAACTGCTGGTCTAGCATTTGGAGTTTGTTGAGGAGTTTATTGCTTAACAAAGATAATCTTAAAAGTAAAGTTATGTTCTATCTGATGTAAGAGATCTTCATTTATTACGAGACTATTAGAAAAACTGTACATCTTTGAATTTGTAAAAAGAGAGGATCAGTCTCAACTTAATAAAGAAGTTGTTAATCAGGTCAGACTTACTTGGTTACTTGTGCATAGTCAAGGTGGGGTTGAGGGTGAACTGTAAGGGTATATGTGAGATCTCAGCAGAATTTGTGATAGGCAGAAAAATGGTCCCCCCCCTCAAAGACATCCATGTGCAAATCCCTGCAACCTGTGACTATGTTCAATTATATGGCAAAAGGTAATTGAGGTTGTACATGGAATTTAAGATGCTAATCAACATTTTAAGATAGGGAGATATCCTGGATTATCTGAGTGGGCCCAGTGTAATCACAAGGGTCCTCTAAAGTAGAAGAGAGAGGCAGAAGAAAAGATATGAGGAAGGAAGCAGTGTCAGAGAGATGCAGCATTGCTGGCTTTGAAGATGGAGGAGAAGGGCCACAAACCAAGGAATGCAGGCAACCCATAGAAGCTGGAAAAGGCTGGGGAAGTTTGAAAAAACAAGGTTTATTATTCACAGGTCCTGGGGAGTACACATCGTGTGGGCCACATAGCAAGAGGTTTGGTCAGGAGGTGGGAAACAGGAGTACATACTAGAGAGCAACAGCGCGCACTAGCAGATCTGGGGTTCTTACTTTATTCTGGTTGAGGGTGGGGTACCTAGGGTTTCACAAGTTCACTGTTTATTGAGAGTGAGAGTGGGAATTAAAGCACAGGGAGGGAAAAGCAGGGTCACTCAAATGATCAGTTATCTAGGTCAACCAGGGCTTTCTAAAAGGGAAACTTCATGGGTGGGGTGGCCTGGCTCTTTATATAGTTGTATAGCTGGCAATGGGCTTATTTGAGATGGATTTCTTTGAAATGTATATACCTCAGCAATCAAAAGCTTAATGTCAGGCACTTTCTTATTAGAATCAAAAAAGCTAATTGTCAGGCACTTACACCACACTGCTTCTTTCTAGTCAACCATGGGATCTCATGGTAAAAACATGCCTTTTGAGATTGGTTTTTTGACTCATAACATTGTCTTTGGGATTATTTAAGTTATTTTGTGTTATAATAGCTTATTCCTTTTAGTTGCTGAGTAATATTCCATGCTATGGATGTACCACAGCTTGTGTTGTTTTTCTTTTTCAACATCTTTATTGGATTATAATTGCTTTAAAATGGTGTGTTAGTTTCTGCTTTATAAAAAAAGTGAATCAGTTATACATATACATATGTCCCCATATCTCTTCCCTCTTGCATCTCCCTCCCTCCCACCATCCCTATCCCACCCTTCTAGGTGGTCACAAAGCACTGAGCTGATCTCCCTCTGCTATGCGGCTACTTCCCACTAGCTATCTATTTTACAGTTTGTAGTGTATATATGTCCATGCCACTGTCTCACTTTGTCCCAGCTTAGCCTTCCTCCTCCCCGTATCCTCAAGTACATTCTCTAGTAGGTCGGCGTCTTTATTCCTGTCTTCCCCCTAGGCTCTTCTGATCATTTTTTTCTTTCTTCTTCTTTTTTTTTTTTTTAGATTCCATATATATGTATTAGCATACAGTATTTGTTTTTCTCTTTCTTACTTACTTCACTCTGTATAACAGTCTCTAGGTCCATCCACCTCACTATAAATAACTCAGTTTTGTTCCTTTTTATGGCTGAGTAATAGTCCATTGTACATATGTGCCACATCTTCTTTATCCATTCATCTGTTGATGGACACTTAGGTTGCTTCCATGTCCTGGCTATTGTAAATAGAGCTGCACTGACTATTTTGGTACATGACTCTTTGAATTACAGTTTTCTCAGGGTATATGCCCAGTAGTGGGATTGCTGGGTCATATGGTAGTTCTGTTTTTAGTTTTTTAAGGAACCTCCACACTGTTATCCATAGTGGCTGTATCAATTTACATTCCCACCAAAGTGCAAGAGGGTTCCCTTTTCTCCACACCCTCTCCAGCATTTATTGTTTGTAGAATTTTTGATGATGGCCATTCTGACCGGTGTGAGATTATATCTCATTGTACTTTTGATTTGCATTGCTCTAATGATTAATGATGTTGAGCATTCTTTCATGTGTTTGCTGGCAATCTGTATATCTTCTTTGGAGAAATGTCTATTTAGGTCTTCTGCCTGTTTTTGGATGCGGTTGTTTGTTTTTTTGATATTGAACTGCATGAGTTGCTTGTATGTTTTGGAGATTAATCTGTTTTCAGTTGCTTTATTTGCAAATATTTTCTTGCATTCTGAGGGTTGTCTTTTGGTCTTGTTTATGGTTTCCTTTGCTGTGCAAAAGCTTTTAAGTTTCATTAGGTCCCATTTGTTTACTTTGTTTTTATTTCCATTTCTCTAGGAGGTGGGTCAAAAAGGATCTTGCTGTGATTTATGTCATAGAGTGTTCTGCCCATGTTTTCCTCTAAGAGTTTGATAGTGTCTGGCCTTACATTTAGGTCTTTAATCCATTTTGAGTTTATTTTTGTGTATGGTGTTAAGGAGTGTTCTAATTTCATTCTTTCACCTGTAGCTGTCCAGTTTTCCCAGCACCACTTATTGAAGAGGCTGTCTTTTCTCCACTGTATTCTTGCCTCCTTTGTCAAAGATAAGGTGACCATATGTGCGTGGGTTTACCTCTGGGCTTTCTGTTGTGTTCCATTGATCTATATTTCTGTTTTTGTGCCAGTACAATACTGTCTTGATTACTGTAGCTTTGTAGTATAGTCTGAAGTCAGGGAGCCTGATTCCTCCAGCTCTGTTTTTCTTTCTCAAGATTGTTTTGGCTATTCGGGGTCTTTTGTGTTTCCACAAAAATTGTGAAGTTTTTTGTTCTAGTTCTGTGAAAAATGCCATTGGTAGTTTGTTAGGGATTGCATTGAATCTGTAGATTGCTTTGGGTAGTAGAGTCATTTTCACAATGTTGATTATTCCAATCCAAGAACACGGTATATCTCTCCATCTATTTGTATCATCTTTAATTTCTTTCATCAGTGCCTTATAGTTTTCTGCATACAGGTGTTTTGTCTCCTTAGGTAGATTGATTCCTAGGTATTTTATTCTTTTGTTACAATGGTAAATGGGAGTGTTGCCTTAATTTCTCTTTCAGATTCTTCATCATTAGTGTATAGGAATGGAAGAGATTTCTGTGCATTAATTTTGCATCCTGCCACTTTACCAAATTCATTGACTAGCTCTAGTAGTTTTTTGGTAGCATCTTTAGGATTCTCTATGTATGGTTTCATGTTACCTGCAATCAGTAACAATTTTACTTCTTTTCTGATTTGGATTCCTTTTATTTCTTTTTCTTCCCTGATTGCTGTGGCTAAAACTTCCAAAACTATGTTGGATAGTAATGGTGAGAGTGGGCAACCTTGTCTTGTTCCTGATCTTACTGGAAATGGTTTCAGTTGTTCACCATTGAGAATGATGTTAGCTGTAGGTTTGTCATACATGGCCTTTGTTATGTTGAGGTAAGTTCCCTCTATGCCTACTTTCTGGAGGGCTTGTATCATAAATTGGTGTTGAATTTTGTCAAAAGCTTTTTCACCATCTATTAAGATGATCATATGGTTTTTCTCCTTCAGTTTGTTAAAATGGTGTATCACATTGATTGATTTGCATATATTGAAGAATACTTGCATTCTAGGGATAAACCCCACTTGATCACGGTGTATGATCCTTTTAATGTGCTGCTGGAATCTGTTTGCTAGTATTTTGTTCAGGATTTTTGCATCTATGTTTGTCAGTGATATTGGCCTGTAGTTTTCTTTCTTTGTGACATCTCTGTCTGATTTTGGTATCAGGGTGATGGTGGCCTCCTACAATGAGTTTGGGAATCTTCCTACCTCTGCTATATTTTGGAAGAATTTGAGAAGGATAGGTGTTTGCTCTTCTCTAAATATTAGATAGAATTCTCCAGTGAAGACATCTAGTCCTCCTGGGCTTTTGTTTCTTGGAAGATCTTTTAATCTCAGTTTCAGTGCTTTTGATTGGTCTGTTTATATTTTCTGTTTCTTTCTGGTTCAGTCTTGGATGATTTTGCTTTTCTAGGAATTTGTCCATTTCTTCCAGGTTGTCCATTTATTGGCATATAGGTGCTTGTAGTAATCTCTCATGATTCTTTGTATGTCTGCAGTGTCAGTTGTTACATCTCCTTTTTAATTTGTAATTCTATTGATTTGAGTCTTCTCCCTTTTTTTCTTGATGAGCCTGGCTAATGGTTTATCAGTTTTGTTTATCTTCTCAAAGAACCAGCTTTTAGTTTTATTGATCTTTGCTATTGTTTCCTTCATTTCTTTTCCATTTATTTCTGATCTTATCTATGATTTCTTTCCTTCTGCTAACTTTGGGGTTTTTTTCTTCCCCTTTCTCTAATTGCTTTAGGTATAAGGTTAAGTTGTTTATTTGAGATGTTTCTTGAAGTAAGATTGTATTGCTATAAACTTCCGTCTTAGAGCTGCTTTTGCTGCATCACATAGGTTTTAGGTCATTGAGTTTACATTGTCATTTGTTTCTAGGTATTTTTGATTTCCTCTTTGATTTCTTCAGTGATCTCTTGGTTATTTAGTAGTGTATTGTTTAGCCTCCATTTGTTTGTATTTTTT